AGGCGCGGGGGAGGCGGCGCGGAGCGGGGCCGCCCGCTGGGCCTGACGCGCGGCTTGCAGCATATCTGTATGCGCTGTGCAAAAAGGCGCCCGCGAGGAGGGGATGTAGCTCAGTGGTAGAGCGCATGCTTTGCATGTATGAGGCCCCGGGTTCAATCCCCGGCATCTCCAGGTGTTTTTGCCTCCGGGGAAAGGAAGGGTGAGCATCCTGCCGAGCCGGTTGTTTTGCTTTCTCTTACCCAGTTCCCCGAAAGAGCCGTGGTTTCAGTTTTGTAATTTGTTTTCCTTTTTTTCCTTCCCTCCCATAAGCACAGAGCAGTTTGCAAACTTCTGCTGCAATTCTTGCTAGAGAGAGGAGCCCAGCCAAGAGCTCACAGCACCCTCCTGCCTGCGGTTACTGCGAAAGGCTATGGCTCTGCAGCATTTACATTATACACGCACACCCCTACAACAGGGTATTTTCCTTCTTGCTCGAAAATGAAAGCTGATGTTTCATCAGGATTAGATATTTTGAACGCTTACTTGTCTCCTGGCCTGCAGCCCCTGAAGCGCACGGGGGCGGTGGGAGCAGCAGGTGCGGGCATCCAGCCTTTTCTGTGCTTGGGTCGCACCAGCTTCCTCCAGAACACGGGGACAGGAGGGTCACTGCCAACGCCTTCTCCTATTGCGGTGTTACGAGCAACAGCAAATTAACACAGCGTGAGCGCACGGTTTACCGAGGAGGAAAAAGATTGGGTGAAAGGGAAGGTAAACTCAAGCTGTGCATTTTCTTCTGGGACTACCAAAATTGCTTGCTGCAAAACGAGCAGATGGCGTGGTTAAAGCCTGCCCCGTTTCCTGAAAGCTGCTGCATTCCTAAAAGTGCTCCAGCCCACGAAATCCAGGGAGGCTCAGGAGCACCCGACTATACAAAACAGTACTGGCAAACCATGTGGCAGAGCAAAGGCACCAGGAGATCCGAGTGCTTGCAGCACCAAGCCAGGTACCAGGAGAGATCTGAAAAAAACCTATTGCAAGCAAGATCAATGGATACTCTGAACTCATGGCAAACTCCTAGAGAAGCAGGAAAAGCAATATTAGGGCTGTACTGGGTCTGGCTGGGCTGGAGTTAATTTCTTTATAGCAGCCCACATGCTGCTGTGTTTTGGATTTGTGACTAAAACAGTGTTGATAACGCACCGGTATTTTGGCTGTCACGGAGCAGTACTTGCACAGCATCAAGGCTTTCTCTTTTCCCACCCTCTGCTTCCCCCGTGAGTAGGTCAGGGGTGGACAAGAGGCTGGGAGGGGACACAACCAGGACAGCTGACCTGAGTTGGCCGAAGGGATAGTCCGTGCCGTACAATGTCATGCTCGGATACCAGCTGGTCGTCGTGTGGGAGGTGGGGAATGATCGCCCTTGCATCATTTGGATTTTTTCCTTCTTCTTCGTCTTCTTCCCTGCACTAATTAAACTATCTTTATCTCAACCCACGAGTTTTCTCACTTTTGCGCTTCCCGTCCTGCGGAGGGATAGGGAGTGAGCGAGCAGCTGTGCGCTGCTGAGCTGCTGGCCAGGGTCAACCCACCACCAGGACCAAAGGTTCAGTCTGCGTTTGGATCTGCAGTCACGCATGAGGAAGGGTCCGCAAACGTCTGAAATTCTGCTTATTGCAGCATCCCACATAGAAAACACCTCTCCCGTCCAAACCAAAGAACTATACGTATTTATTATAGTCCATACGACTAATATAGTCCAAAGAGAAACTTAAAAAAACAATCTGTAAAATACAATGGATAAAATTATCCAAACATTAATATTACAAAATACCAGCGCAACAGCTGGCAGGGCTTCTGAGAACACAGAGGGCTTCCCAGAAAACCAGAGTAACACCCAGTTTGCTTACAGAAAGGTATCGCTAACAGTTAGCAAGTCCATCTCTGTCATCAGATTTCCAAGGAAATCCAAGTTCCCGAAACACCTTGGAGAAAAGGAGTCCCCCAAGAACTAGTCAGGCACTTCACAGTGCTACCGGTGGCCACTTCTTGGCTAGATCATCATGCATAGCTTCAGGGATCCACTGACAATAGGCTGCGAGCAAATCTGGAACGAAAGAGAGGAGCGATTAGACGGCTGTGGGAATCGGGGACTGGAGTGGTTTTGCTGGTAAGAGAAGGTCCTGTGGCATCACCCTGCTCGCAGGCAGGCTGGGGAATGAAGAAGGCACCTCTCCTGCTGAGAGCAAGAACCAGCTTTCCGTCACTGGGACAGTGTTCAAGCTTGGACACCTGCATGCAGATACAGAAGTATCAGAAGTACGGGTGGAAGCCATCACCGCAATCCCGTTTGGAGGAATTTTAATATTTTTTTTTTTTAATCTTTGCTGCTGCTTCCATAAAAGAACCCCCATAGTCTGGTACCCTAATACTGAACAAAATCCATTTTACCTGGCAAAGAATTTTCCTGTATCCACTGACAGTACCATCACAGTCTAGTTTTTCAAAAGCCCAAACCAAACATTTTAACTGTGGTTAGAACTAAAGAAAAAAAAAATATCTTAAAATACA